CCCTAGCCCCTGTGCCCACCCAGGACCGCCCCAGCACGGCCAGGCAACCGGACCAGCAACCCATGACCGCCGCTACAAACTACCCGAGGGCCCACATGCAGCCACCAGAAGACCTCCCCCAGAACCACCAAGGCCCTCCCCAGAGCGAGAGCAGCGTCACCCCCGCTCCGGAACCCCCAGCGGCCAGCCCCCAAGAGTTAGGTCGTTAGATTGTTAATGACAACCTAACGACCTAACTTTTTTTTGGCCATGACGAGTAAACACATTTTATGACAAAATCCCCCATAGCAATATAATGATGTCTGAAAATTTCTCTATGATATAACTGCTTCATAAAAATAAAGCTACCAAACAAGAAAAAGTTATGTAATTTTACACTAAAAGGTGGGGATAGTGGCACAAACTATGCCAGTAAAACCAGCAGTTCATATCTATTACAATAATATCTTAAAAATTGAAATTAGCAGAAAAATAAAGAATATAAATCACCCTTTTAAAGCCATAGTTACATAAACAGTACATGTTTAAAACATAAGTAATCAGGCACACATTTAAACCGTGCAGACTTTTATACATCCCTCCTCCAGGAAACCATTTCAGGCATCAAGACAGACAGCAGCTGCACTGATGATGGTTTCACAACAGGTTTCTTTTTATATACAAAATAATAGGAAACTCCTGCTACTCATCAGAGATGTGTAAAATAAAATGAAGCTGGGTTTCCCCCCGTGGTGCAGGAGACGACCCTGTGAGAAGGAAACAGGGCCAGCCCACTCATGTCAACAAAGCGGATGTATGCGCCGCTGTTAGCATGCTTTGTTAGCCTGGCAGGGCTGGGCTGGTGCCTGAATCCTAGCGGGGAGGAGAGCCACGCTGCTGTAGCGGTCCTCGGTGTGTTTCATGTTAAACAAAATCACCAACACCCTGCAATCGTGACAGTATGAAGTGTTTCGTCGCAGCAGGCTGTCCTGTAACGATAGGAATGTTCTAGCAGCAGCAGCAGCGAAGGACCGTGTTCTGTCATTTGACAAGCAGCTTCTCGTTGACCTGAGCTCCATAATATACCCGTGTCACCTCCAAACAAACTGCACTGCCTCCCGCAGTGATTCCAGAGTTATGCAGCAGAGATATACCCTTTTAATGTGACGCGACACCGATGTACGCCACAGGATCTCGTTTTAAGCTAACAGGGTTAACGCTGCAAGGGGAGAAATACAGAATGGCTGCAAATTAATGCCGAGCAAGAGGCAGGCAGAACGTGGGTTTTCTGTTTGCAATGCTTATTTATTTTTTTTCTAATACATACTGCAGTGCTACACTGGTTTACCTGTAGGCGCGCTCTCCTCGCACCGTATTTTTCCTGTAAGGGATGATGTTGGTTCCGTTGTCCTGGACGATGTCGTTGTTATTCTCTCCATTTGGTGAAAGGGCTTGGGTGGGACCGGGCATTTGCGTCTCTGAAATGTCGAACAGATACTACTCTGTTCTCCTTCTGGCCGGGGGTAGGAGGGGGGAGGGAGTGTGCTTGCGAGAAGAAAAAAAAATAAATGAGCAGGGACGATGCGAACACTGAAAGAAAATGCCGCAGCTCCGAGTCTCCTTGCTTGTCCGCTTATTCCTCACAAATCCCTGCTGCCCTGATGACGTCGTCGCAACCTGGCCCACGTGACCAATGGGGCTGGTTGCCTGTTCATGAGGGCTGTTTCGTTGCTGGTCTCATTTAAATATAGGTCAAAACCACCTTTAATCAACTGTTTAGGCACCAGTGACGCGAAGGTTTGAAGCTCAGTGTCTTTTTTAGGGACAGCAATGGCCCACTTACGAGTCCCCCGCTTATATTAAACCCAATTCAATTTAAAAATACTTTATTATACCCAAAGGGAAACTAACCCATAACCACTCACCATAATCATAAAGCACTAATACAGGAAAAAAAATAATAATCGAGTGCCTATAACATTTAAGATTATTTAAAAAATGAGAAATTACAACTATAGTCAAACCTTGTTTAGCAAAAACTGAAAACTGGGACCTTTTGACCCCTGATAACATCAGCGTGTGCATAATTGTTTATGAAATGTCATTTAAATTGGAGAGCTAAACAAAATGAATTTGCTGATACCTTGCTTTTAAAATTTGGTTGGTATATAACAAACGTTTTGGGCAATTAAGTTTCCTGTACCCCTTATTTTGATGGTCACAATGGCAAAGGGGTGTAGTCAAAAAGGGGTCCCTGTGGGTAGTAAGACCCAATTCTTTTTCTGTTGACACGCTTTTTCTGAATGAGTGAACCCTAGAGCAGTGTTTCCCAAAGTTGGGGTCGGGACCCAAAGTGGGGTCCTGAAACATCAAGGTGGGGTCCTGAAAAGATTTTCAGAATTAATTACATTTTTGCCCTAGTTGTCGCAAAGGAGTGAGGTTAGTATATTTAAAATGGATAAATTGTTACTATGCCCATGTTTTGTTGACCTGATACAAATGTTTATCATCCAAAAATAGTTGGGGGCTCAGGTCTCTGCGACTGTTATTTTGTGGGTCAAAAGCTGAAAAGTTTGGGAACCACTGCACTTTGGTTCCCAAAGTTGGGYTTGGGACCCAATTATGGGTCATGAAGCACCTTGGATAATCTCCAGAAATCAATTTAAAGGGTAGAAAAATAATTGCTGATGTAATATTTTCCCTATAATTATTATAAAAAACACAAAATAAGTAAAGATAAGTATTTATATTTGTGTACAAGCTGTTCAGATTGTCAAAAAGCCTGTGTTTTTAGGGTTATTAACGAAGCTTGTATTTTCAGACCAGTAATATTTGGGGTCACAAGTTTTTGCCATGGATATTTTGTGGGTCAGAAGATAAAAAGTTTGGGAACCACTGCCCTAGAGTACATAAAACTAGCAAAAAAAGTTCATGATGTGTGCACGATGACCCCCTTAGCCCATAGACTAAGAGATGAACATTTTTATCTTCTGTTGAGGTTGTGACATTTTGACCTCTTGATATCATTATTGTATGCACAAGGGTTTAAAGAAATGCCATGTAAATTGAAGAGCTAATCAATACTAATCTGCTAATACCTTTTTTATAAATTTTGGTTGGTAAATAAAGTTATTGGCGTTAAATTTTTCTGAGCCCCCAAATTTAACATGCACAATGAAAAAAGGGGTGTGGTCAAAAAGGGTTCTTGGGAGTAGTGGGACCCAATTTCTTTTTTCTTTTCTTTTTTTAAACATTATTTTCTGAAAGAATGAACCCTAGGGTATATGAAAATACCAGAACATATCAGAAGTGTGTGTGTGCACGGTGAACCACCCTATGGACTAAATATTTGAGAAAAATAGCAAAGTATTTTTCAGGGATGATGAGAAAACTAATGCCAACATTGCAGCTTTGGAACAGCTTGGAACTACAGTACGAAAACACAACTATGATGTTTTTTTTTTCTGCAGAAATCAAATGCAAGAAGATCAAACTTTGAAGGTTTCCAACACATAGCTTAGCTAAAACAGTTAGAAGGTCCGGTTAAATGCCAATCATCTATTTTTTTGTGTTAATAAAGTCAAGTCCTATAAGATTCAAATTGAAGTTTACTTTTTAAAAACATTATCAAATAAAATTTGACTCCCAAATTTATGCTTGTGCTCATATATGTCATATTTTAATTCAAAACTGCTTAAAAAACCCTGTCCTTCAATATTTTTTCAGTACTTCAATGCTGAGGCAGCAGGACTCTGTGTGCATGTCTGAAGCTCTAGCACCCCCATCAGGTCAAAGTCAGTTCTACATATTTAAAAACGACACTAAACCTTTAAAATACAACATAAAATAAAGTTTAAAGAAGTAATACAACAATAGTGCTAAACATAAATAAAAATCTAACAAAAATGGACTTGTCAGTATTTTGTTTTGTGTTCTAATTCAAGGCAACACAATGAACTAAACTCATCAAACAAACAAATTGGAAATCAACAGAAATGGCTCCATAAGAATCAGAAACATTACACTTTTCTAACACCAGTGCTAAAATGCCCATTCACACTGGCAAGTGACAGATACAACAAAACAAGTTCAGCTTGCATGTTGCAGAACGAAAAAAAGTAGAGCACAAACAAATTTCAGAGACAGCAAGGAAACAACAAACTTCAGATGCAAATGAAGGCGTGTTGGCAGACGGCATCACCAACTGTCACCGGACTGAACTGAAGCCCTGCTGAGCTGAAGGGTGCAGAATGCATGTCCGCTAAACAGAAAAACACAACAGGCCACAAGGAAATAAAGATGCAAAAGTAGTTATATTAGCTTGTGCTCTTAGACAATTACTTCAACAACACAGCAAATCTCCTTTCTGTCCACTAAACAAAATGTTTTGCATTGCAGCGAAAGCTCAAGACAGTCTCCTCTCGGGAGTATCTAAAAGAGAAAATCTTAAGCAAGCGAAAGGAAAAGATGTCAGTCACTGCATTAAAAATATATTATGTGAGCTGATTGTTCAAGCATTGGCTGAGATCCAATTACTAAAGCCTAGTGGGATCAGGTCAGTTGGATGCTTAACATTACTATCAGATGTTTCTGTGGATTAATACAGGTCATGAAAAAAAAAAGATGAAGCAATGGACTTCTGTTCTGTAGCTGAAGACGTGTGATTTAAGATTTAAACTGCATGACTCGAGGTTAGTATCATTATTACTTGGATTGATCTCTATACCCAGACCTCACAGATGTAAAAGTCTGAGAAATTCGACATGACTGTTTAGACCAGTAGTTGTCCATCCTGGCCCTCGAGGCCCCACTATCTTGCATGTTTTACGTGTTTTCCTGCTTTGGCACACCTGATTTAAATTAATGAGGACAGGCTTCTGCAGAACTTAAAATAAAAAAAAAAACTGCTGAAAAGCAGGGAAACAATGAAAACATGCAGGACTGACAATCACTGGTTTAGACTGAGGTTTGCCTTGACAAACATCAGATGCAGTGGTTTGCAAAAGTATTCATACCCCTTGAACTTTTCCATATTTTGTCACATTACAACCACAAACATAAATATATTTCACTGGAATTTAA